TGCAACATCCTCTTCATTTCCTTTCACCTCAAAAAATAGAGTCTGTACTTCAGAAACAAAGAGGATCAGATGAACATACATTGTGGCTGAAATACTTGCTCTACAGTTCTCTCCTTACTGGAGCTGCAGAAGAAGGTAGCCTGCTGCTGTGTTGGTGGGATGGGAAAAGTGATGCTAGATGACTGTCCAGCGTGTCCCCACTTGGATTTGGAATGGTCAGCTGTTGTCCAGTTGTCACATTTGACAGGGCTTCATGGTCTCTGCTGAGGCCAGTATACTTATAAGCTGCTTTTTGCTTGCAGGCTGTTGAGCAGACATCACTGTGGCTAACTGTTGTTAGCCTGTATTTTGAAATCTGCTCAGCTTTTTTTCCATCACCTTCCTGTTTCACTGAAATGATTTTCAGTTGTATGTGTGAAAGCATTTCAGTTGTATGTGTGAGTGGTTTTCATTATAGTATGTAAAAGACTTTGGTTTCACATGTGTCTGTGAGAGGATAATTCTGAAAAAAGTCCCGTACGGCACCTCATATATCCTAACGTCAAATCCTCCTCCTCCTTTTCTAAAGGCTTGCCCGGCAACTAGTCTCAGGGGATCTCCGATATTTTATAAGGAGACGTGTTGGGGGCGTGGAGAGCTAGAAGAGAACTTTTAATAAGTTTTGGGTCTGTTGTGTAAGAGGAAACTAATCCTGTACCAGCCACCGTCTCCAGTTTCTCCTCCTGCATTTTTGCGCTCAGCCATCCGCGGACAAATGAAAGCGGTGCACCCTAAGCGGAGCGCTCTGCTGCGGCTCTGCCTCCTCCTGCTGTGCTTCACTGTGTCCCCCTCGGCGGCCTGGGACCTGGTTCTCCTCCACACCAACGACGTGCATGCCCGGGTAGAGGAGACCAGCACGCACTCGGGGAAATGCGACGGTAGTGGCCAGTGTTTCGCTGGCGTGGCCCGGAGAGCCACGATGATCAAGAAGATCCGCAACACCGAGAGCAACGTGCTGCTGCTGGACGCCGGAGACCAGTTCCAGGGCACCGTCTGGTTCAATTACTACAAGGGAGCCGAGGCTGCGCATTTCATGAACAGCCTGCGATACGATGCCATGGTAAGAAACTTTACTTGACTTGATTTTCTGCAGCCCACAGTATTGATTACGCGATTGATTCCTCTAGTCTCACCAAAGTGATACGATCAGTTCACACTGGGTTTACTGGACTGTTTTGTTACCACTGGTGGAAGAAGTTTTCAGATTCTTCACTTCAGTAAAAGTAGCAATGCAATAAGCAAATTCTTCGTTATCAATAAAAGTACTTAAGAATTGTGGGTCAAGTTTCAGTAGAAGTACAAATGTAGTCAAACATAATCGTGTCCTACACGATTATGTTTGGTGAATCTGCACAAAAGACCGTTTATTAAACTAATCACGTTTTATGTACAGTCCTAGTTTCTAAGTAGCTCTCAGATAAATGTAGTGCAGTAAACACTAGCAGAATATGGAAGTACCCACTAAACCCAGAAAGGAACAGGTTCCTCCTGTTTATTTCTAACATACTATTATCAAAAACAGTCATTCTTGCTTATACTGTAGGCTCTGTCCTAATCAGAGCTTTAATGTCTCTGCCACTAAGGTTCACAACCACATTTTAAGAATAGAATTAATCTGTTATGTTGTTCTTGGTCAGATCGTTTATCATTGAACCCTTCAGGTCTGAAAGCTACAATAAAGAAGTGACCTTTAGATGGAGAACACCAACACCACCCTGAAGCTTTGAGTCAACTGGCTCATGTCTTATGACCATAAATGCACTTTGTCTTTACTGAAACCACAACTAGAGGATCATCTTTGCACATTAAAACCATCAGAGATAAAGGAGGAGGAAATGTTCCTGTTTATAACCAAGGAATCAGTCACTGACAGGCCGAAGCCGATTTATGGTTCCAGGTTAAAAGGCTCAGCTGGGTTTACTTATCTTAATAGCAGCAAATAAAGAAGAAGCATTTAATGAGCAGGTGCTGTGTGCTTTTAAATCTTTAGCCAGAATAAGAAAAGGCTGAGTGAGTTGTTTGTTAACCTGGTGGAGAACAGACTGTCACAGACCAGCGAGTTGATGAGAGAGAGAGGCCTCCATGGTCCCCTGTGTGTGCTCTGTTCAGCAGATCAGTATGAAACTCCACACACACCTCACTGTGCTCAAATATCAGGTAAGCAGGCAATAACCAGAACATGTTTTCAGAGCGGGGGCACTAATCCACTGGAGAAACAACCTGCGTGGAACAACCTAAATCTGCTGCTGGTGTTGGTACCTCCCAGTGGGATCCAGGGCCCTGGTTTGGGCCGAGCACAGGCCTCTTCAGGCTTCACTCATCATTAGAACTGCACTCTGTGGGGTCCAGGTTAAACAGGCTGAGCTGACGGAGATCGCTCTGGCTGGGCCGGATGTAGACAACCAGAATTCTTTCATCACTTGCTGCGAGCTAAGTTTAGTGGAACAGCCTTCTAAAGTTAAAATCAGTGTCCATACTTAGGAGCAGCTCTCCGACTTCTTCATGTGACTTTGTTTTGTGTTTTTCAGACGCTTGGAAACCATGAGTTTGACAATGGCGTAGAGGGACTAATGAAACCGTTCATGGAGCAGATCAAGTGTCCAGTTCTCAGTGCAAACATCAAATCTGACAAAACTCTGGCCCCGACTTTTGGAATCTCTTATGAACCTTATAAGATAGTGACTGTTGGAAAGCAGAAGGTGGGCGTGGTGGGATACACGTCACAGGAGACGTCCGCTCTGTCCAAACCCGGTGAGTCTCTGTGTTTGCCTCTGAATCTGTCTCAGCATTTCACTGCCCTCACTGACCTTGTTGTGCAACAGGACCACACCTGCGGTTCGAGGACGAGGTGACCGCCATGCAGCCTCACGTGGACAAACTTCAGAAATTGGGAGTCAACAAGATCATCGCTCTGGGTCACTCTGGTTTCACCATGGACCAGGAGGTCGCCAGGAAGGTTCGTGGAGTCGACGTTGTCATCGGCGGTCATAGCAACACTTTCCTCTATACAGGTAGGTGCATACAGCTTTTAACGCCACAGCTGTCACATGATTATTTATGGATCTAAGAGAAAGCTTGGGTTTGCCTCTCTTGGCTAGTGTCTCCAGATCGATGCAGTCCAGCATTTCTCTCATCAATCTTGCTGAGAAAACAAAGCAGGGAGTTGATGTTTTCTTTCCATACACATACTGGGACGCATCGGCTCCACTGCGGCGGTTTAGATCGAGTTGAAACCCTGGTTCTAACGAAGTGAGATGGGCCATGAAGAAACTACAGCTACATGCATGTTATGCTAACAAAGTTGATCTGAGCCTAATACCAGTGTCACAGAATATCAACAGAATGGCACCAGGCTCGTCCCCTCTTGTCCGTCTCATGTTCGCACATAGCTACCTGTTTTGCTACAAGTGAAACCAGATCCACACAAACCGTGTGGATCTACATTTTAATTAGCTGGATCTATTGCATTGGTGTAGATACAGGATTGTGTTTTGATGTAAGTGTTGGTGGTGGTGTTCTGCAACCACCTTTCCTCCAGTGTGTTTCCATGTGTGCGAGGTGGGAGGCATTCCCAGCATCGTCAGCTCTGAATTAAAACCAGCAGCCTGACATGAAGCCTCTTTTTCAGAGCAGGCTGCTCAGACTTGCTTATTCTGGCTCCCATGCTGAGAATGCTCTTTAATTTGAGTATCAATGTGACTTTTACTCCCCCTGACAAACACTGCACTCCCACTGCATTCTCATTCCACTCAAACTGTCCTTCTGTGTGTGTCTGCTCCTGAACGCGAGCAGACTTTGAGTCTTGTGGCGTACTCCACAGTAAACATGCTGTCAGCCTGAGCCTGGCCTCCATAAATAAGTCTCAGGCCAGTCAGAGGAAGCGAGTTGTTGGTTTGGACCTCAGGCCACAGAAACTCCAGGAAATAACGAGGATTCTCTGCAGCAAGAATCAGGATAAACAAACTGTTCTGCAGTCATCTCTTTAATGGATATATAATTACCCGGTATTATTGACCAAAGAAATGTGAAGTGTTGTTAGATGGTTAATGGCTTTTTGGACTTTTCTCTATTGTGGAATTTTGGACAATGTCACGTCTTTGGACCTGGAATGACGACACCTGCAGATGACAGGTAGCCTCCTCACCGCTGTGTTGTCTTTATTAACATGATCATGTTAAAACAAGACACTGGAATCACAGCTGTGAGCAACTGTGCGAAGAGTTTTTAAATGTTTTGACACATTATAAAGGAACCGGTTTTTAAAAAAAGATAATAGGTTACTGTGTAGTGAACCCACGCGTTGGGACACTTTCCAGTTCAGGCTGCTGTTTCCGATCCCACAGCCTCTGAACTTTTCCTTGGTTCCCACACCTTGTCTTTCAGGAGCCCCCCCGTCCACTGAGGTCCCTGCAGGTCCGTATCCGTTCATTGTGAAGTCAGATGACGGGCGGCAGGTTCCTGTGGTGCAGGCCTATGCCTTTGGAAAATATCTGGGTTATCTGAAGGTGACTTTTGATGAGGCTGGAAATGTGGTGAAGTCCACAGGAAACCCAATTCTACTGGACAGCAGCATCCCACAGGGTAAAGAGTAAATCTTTGTTCATTTTACAGGTCACGGATTCTCTAGTTAATAATAATGTCAGGTTTAGTAAAAATGATAAAGGACATAGAGGAAGTGTAAAGTGTCTGTTTTTTGAGTTTTTAAGGAAAAAAGGAAATTATGGAGTAGGTGAGTGAGACGTAGTTTACAACCAGACGCCGTCAGTTTCCTAGAAACAAACTGTTGGTTCCAGACGAGACAGAAAATGTGCTGCACTGTCGCGTTACTCTGAGTTTGTACATAGAGCTGCTCTGTGTGTGAGATGTTTATCATGGAGCATGTGCAAAACAAAACCAAGGTCAGCAGTTCAACCAACACAGACGCAAGTGAAAGTGTTGTGTTGCAGCGCAGACTTTTCATTTCCCTTTGTTTCTTGGAGACCTCACTTAACTACCACATTGTTTCCTCTTTTTTCCTTAAATCTCGACTGAACCACGTGGTACGTAATAACTGCAGCTGTGCTTTTCCTATAATTGGTACCAAAGTTCGTTCTTGGAAATATTTTTGGAAATTGAAATGAAAGGTGATTTTATTTAGATAATTGTGAGAAAACATTTCTAAGAAATGAGCTGTAAAATACAGGACCTGTAAAATAAAGAATGACCAGGTTTTTCTTCCTTCTCTTTATGTTGTAGGACAGAATGTTTTTTCTGACACAGTTCTTAGATGTGAACGACACACTGACGCCGCTCTGTCCGTGCATGTTTTAATGTCATCTGTGTGTCATCTTCTGTGTGGTGGTGGAGCGGGAGCGAGGGAGTGGTGTCACGGCCAAACCCTTAGTCCAGCTCTTTATTCTGAACCCGCAGAAACCAGACATTCACTGTGTTCACATGAAAACGGCTCCCTCTAAAACCGAGTACTGTCTTGTCCAGATCCAGATGTTCTTGCTGATGTGGAAAAATGGAAAAAGAACCTGGCCAACTACTCGGCTCAAGTGGTGGGAAAAACTCTGGTCTTCCTCAGTGGAGACAACAAGGACTGTCGGTTTCAGGAATGCAACATGGGAAACCTGATCTGTGACGCAATGGTAAATGGAAGACTTTCACGTGTCCTCTGCTGGCTCGGCTGGAGAACTGAAGGCATCTGTTTCCAGTACTCCCAGTAGCTCCAGCTGACAAACTGACTTCATCCTGGCCTTTCATTCTCCTTTTCCAGTTTATTCCCTTTATCATTGCACCAAAGCTCTGACTAATTACTGGAAATTAAAGTGCACTGTGATCAGTCAGACGACACCTGAGCTGAGCCGGAGCCTTCTCACCTTGTAGTCACTGTAGTCGCTTCTCTTATTAAATGTGTAAATGGAAGACTTTCACGTGTCCTCTGCTGGCTTGGCAGAGCTGCAGAGCGGAAGGTGTTCTGAGCACCGCTGGCTGTTAGCTGGATGTAAAACACTGGTTAAATCAACCACACAAAAGATTAACAGGTGCTCTGCTTATTCAATAATAGGTTGAATGTAAAAGCCTGTGCACATGAAAATACCGAGGCTGAAGTCAACGGCAACTCTCAAGGTGCAACTTAACAAGAAAATCTGATAACTGAGCTTAAAATCCTGTCATGTGAGCTGCTAAGGGGGGGGCAATGGCTAAACATGAGTCTGCAGCTATTTTCACTGAATTCTGGGTTGATGTCGAATGAATTCAGGAACAGTTTTTGAATTTGATGCAGATTAAACATCTGATTCTCTGGATTCTTCGACATGGCAGTGGCAGCAGACAAAATGTCTTGGCTATTTCCAGTCAGTCTTGCTAAACCAAGCTAAGCTAACCACGTCCTGTTTAACATTCAGCCAGATTAATATCAACCTTTTTGTCGATCTCTTAGATAAAAAGGGAGAAAACTTGTTTGCCAAAATATTGAATTGTTCCTTTAATATCACATTTTAAGTTGAAAAAAAAAAGTTAGTTTCAAAAGAAGCAACCCACCTTCATTATGATTAGCTGATTGGTTTTCAGAGTTACACCATGAAGTTACCTCCAGTAGTCATTTGTACACAGGTCATAGAGTACAATGTAGTAACCAAGGTTGACCCATGTACATTTCTTGTCTCCACTGTTCAGATTGAGAACAACATTCAATTCTCAGACGGCATCCAGTGGACCCACGTCAGTGCCTGCATCTTCAACGGAGGAGGCATCCGGGCGTCGATCGATGAACACACTAGGAACGGTGCGTTGCTCATTTTTACGTAGAAGTCAAGTCAAACCAGCGCGGTATTTTACTTACAGAGCCAGAATGGCGCCCAGAAAAAGATGGCATGGCTTGAGCTGGCTCACTCTGCTCCATTCTCCTCCCAGTGACTCTACACGCACAAATCTGTCGGGAGAATTTAACAAAGCAGTGTTGATGTGTGGTCTGTAGGTTCAATCACCATGGAGGACCTGATCTCCGTCTTACCCTTCGGAGGAACCTTTGACCTGGTGCAGCTGAAAGGCTCCACGCTGAGGAAAGCCTTTGAACACTCGGTGCAACGCTACGGCCAGAGTACCGGAGAATTCCTGCAAGTGTCTGGTATCTGCATCTATACATACTGTCCATCTGTACTGTTGCCTATTTGTAGGTGCACCTAGCACCAGACAGTCCTGTAGTGAGTTTGACTTCAGACTGTCTCAGAGGCATTGATTCGATGATCTGGGGGTGGTCTGTGGCTCACGAGGTAGGGCACTTGTCTCCTAACCAGCAAGTTGGTGGTTCGACTCCCAGTCTCCCTGCATGCCTAAGTGTCCCTGAGCAAGACACTGAACCCTGAATTGCTCCCGGTGGCTTGACTAGTGCCGTTGTGTGGCAGCCTGTTGTCATCGGTGTGTGAATGGGTGAATGGTGTATGATCTCCTGTAAAGCGCTTTGGCCAGTGCAACACACTGTGAGAAAAGCGATATATAAATACAGTCCATTTACCATCTGATCGTTCTGGACTGCATTAACTGCCAGGTTTTTCTGTCATCCAACAGGGTTCCACGTGGAGTTTGACCTCGCCCAACCACCGCAGCAGCGCGTGAGGAGCCTCAGCATCCTCTGCACAAAGTGTCGCGTACCTCGCTACGAGCCGGTTCAGGATGACACTGTTTATAAAGTGGTGCTGCCGTCCTACCTGGTGACAGGTGGAGACGGATTCTCTGTGATCAAAGAGGAGATGCTCAAACACGACAGCGGTGAGGTGGCGTGGTGCTCAGGGACTTGGCTTGATTTGTTGTTGGAGATGTGGGCATTTTTTAAGTTAACATCTATTTGCATTCTCTTCAGGGGATTTGGACATTTCAGTTGTGTCCAGCTACATCTCACAAAGAAAGACGGTCTATCCTTCTGTTGAAGGACGCATCAAGATCTACAATGCAGCTTCTAGACTAAGCACTCCACTGGTTTGGCTGGGACTGGTCTGGACTCTGTGCGGGAGCATGTAAGACTGAATCCATCCAGGAAACACAGCAGAAAAGGTTTTTTGATCCAACTTTGTTTTTATAAGCAGCATGTGGCTATAATCCTCCAGGACTGGTGAAGATATCTGGCCTTATTTTAAACTGAAGCGCTCCAGTGGCCAGTTTTTTCCCAGACTGTCTAGCTGGGAGTGTCTTGAATCTCCATTTGGACCAAGTTTGGACAACACTGCTAAAAACACATCTAAAATGTTAAGTGCTAACTGCTAAGCTGCAGTTCCTCTAATGACCACTAGCAGCTGCATTGAGCTGAATGACAATCCTGCAACTTTCTGTAGTAGTATAGAGTCTGTCATTTTTCTTGGTGGCAGTTTGGAAAACAATTGATGAATTTGTGAAGGTATTGCAATGTAAAATGCCAAAGTGTCGATGCATTAGCTCGACTGACGTCACACTCAGCTCCAGCGGCTCGTCCCAGTATTCGTAACCATAAACAATGTGTTTTGTACAAAGTCTTTTATGCTCTCTGGCTGTGTTTGCAGTTTGTCTCTGTTCGTTTCATTCCGAATATTGTCTCATCCCGTTCCCTAATATTGCAGCTGGTTCTGGTCGTTCATGTAACAACACGTTTCACCTTTCGTTGTTGGTCCCTGTAGTGTTGACCAGTATCCAACCTCGGTCTACGGCTTCATCTGTAGATTTTGTTCATGTGTTTGCCTCATTCTGTTTTTAACCCATGTTTTCTTGTGCAGCTAACATTTGAGTATGAAGTGTTATGAATACTAAAGCTTGCATGTAAATCTGGACTTGGTGATAAAGTATTTTAAACTATAGCCTGACTATTTGAGACCAACTTTGACATTTGGCTTTAAAAAGCCTGATCATGCTGCACTGATCCTTAAAAACAACAATGTGACATATTTTTACTGAGGATTCTTGAAACTGGGCCATTAAAGAATCTGATGAAAACCTGTCAGAATCTTTTGATCAGGTGGCGAATGGGGCGTCATGGCTGTTGTTGACGTTTGTCTTTTCCTTGCTGTGAAGCAACACGTTCAGGCTGGAGCATGCCGAGTGCGTCAGACACAGTCCAAGCAGCATTTTCAGCAAGACGCCTGAAACTGCGGGAATCTCAGAAGTAGGTGGAAAATGTTCTTTATCTGTGTGCAACGTCCGGTGTTTCAGCCAGAGATCCTCCGTGACACAGTCCAAGTGGAGTGAACAAGGCTTCTCTGTGTGAGGGGTCTCCCAAACATCCACTGCATAATAATGCTTGGGAACTCTGGGCTTCAGTGAGCCCGAGGCAGCCGGCAGCAGCTGCCAACTGCAGAAAAACATCCAGATTCCAAGGCTTGGCAGAGACTGTTCTCACTCTCACTCTGTGCTGTGGATCCACAGTAAAGACACACACACTTGTTTTTACTCATCTGCTGTGATGCAAGTCCATTTTCTCCACTGAAGATTCCAGTGAAGTTTATTCAGATTAGTTGAACACATCCAAACCATCAGATTAATGGATTGGTAGTCAATGACCATGGAGTTCACTCACATTTCCAGAAAATACTGCAGTACATTTGTACGTCAGCACAGCTACATCTGCTAAAAAAAA